GGCCATCGATCTACTGCAGAGAGTAAAACAGTACGATCAGAAATATAGGATATGCTTTTAGTGAAATTTGAAGTCATGTCCCTGTTTGAACAGATCATCTGATTTAACTTTGATAAAGATGGAATGAAGCAATCGATATAAAGTTGATCTCTCGAAAGCAGTTCAGTTGAGGCTGGCAAAAATTGTAACGCTACAGAAAGTATCAAGCTCTTCCTAGTCGTGATTTATCTTCAGACCAAAAAAAAATGGAATATTGCTGCCATATCTGGGATGGAGATGCTCAGTCCTCACTTTCCAGGTTTGACAGAGTCCTAAAGCGTATCCGCGTCCTTATGGGTGATGAATTATTTTCCATCCTACTCTCAACTATTACATCACTATTTCCATGGTAAACGTTCTAACGATATACTTTCTTTCGTTCCACTTTTAGAGCTAAGACCCGCCATGCCACGTACACGTGATCAAATCATCCCCATTCCGTTCGTATTTCACTAGTAAACAGAAAGTTCTATTCAGACAGCCTTTTTCTAAGAACCACTGCTTTGTGGAATTAACTCCTGAGAGGATACTCCCCCTATCTCCACCATCTTAACCTCTTTAAAACTAAGGTCAATTGTTATCTACTTTCAATAACCTCATTCAGATACCTTCTACCTTAAGTGGCTCTTGGGCCTTGTACTGAGTGAACAACTGTAAAAAAATAGTTCTCTTTGCGGTTAAAGTTGCTATAAAAACAATTCAGCATTAAAATTAAGACAGTAAATACGTATAAAAAACATAATGGTTTCGAATCGTCCTCCTCATCATCAGTCCGATGATCAGGGGTGGTCGTAGAGTCGCTGCACATCCAAGCACCTGACCAGCTTCCTCCATATGCCTCGGCTGAGAGCCAATGTCTGAATCTCTGCAAAGTATCTTCCAGTTAACTCAGTGACTTTGTCAGCCATTTTTCCTCCTCTTCTGTTGCCTAAGCTAGTTACATTCCATCATCACCGATCGGACCCCGAACTACCACCAGTCACGATGAACGGATGCCCCCCTCGGGGAGGCACCGTGCCTTGAAAGACTATTGAGACTAAAATTCGCATCTGACCTCAAGTGGGTAAAGCATTCGGCTCCTTGTACCGCACCACTCAGTACCTTGACTCCTCCTGCTAATACTCTACCTTTTCAAGAGCCAGATCAAGGACAAAAAAATGGAGTACCGTTGTCACGGGTGGGACTGCCCAGACCTCACTCTCCAGCCTTGATAGCATCCAAAAGCGTCTCCGAGCTCTTGTGGGTAACGAATTATTCTCCACCCTCCAACTTCTCTTTCACAGACGGGATGTGGCAAGACTCTCGCTGATCCATCGCTACTTCCATGGAAAGTGTTCGGACGAACTACATAACCTAGTTCCGCCAATTCAACTCTTCACGGCAAGGACACGTCATACCACTTACATAGTAGCAAACCACTGAGATTCCCTTCGTATTCCATTGGTAGGAAGTAAGTACCACTCGAACAGGTTCCTCCCGAAGATCACTACTCTGTGAAACCGACTCCCAAGAGGATGGTTCCCTGATCACTACAATGTTAACCTGTTTAAATCTAGTGTTAACCGTTATCTTCCCCTACTATCCACACAAATTGCCTCTTAACGTAACCCTCTGACTCGAGTGGCTTGTATAGGGTGAACCTTACTGTAAAAAATAAAAATAAAATAAAATAATAGAATGGTAAATTTTTAGCTCTGGTCATGTTTTCATACCATTTCAAATTCCTCTTCTTGATGGTGATGATGAGGATTTACAATGATCCCGTTTCTTGTCTCTTGATATTTCGCATGACGTCATTCGGGATGCAGTGTACGTAGTTGATGCCGAGGATGGTCCTGTAACATCACATTTCTAATGCTTGGACTCTTCGCTGTCATTCTCCTGTTAATGTCCCAGATTTGCAGACATAAAAAGACCGAGAAGGACAATGTACACGGCACTCTGCTCTTTGATTCCCGCTAAATGTTCTTGTCTTTACAGATGGTTCATAGTTCTGTGACAGCTGCCGTTGTTTGCACTGCTCTTGAAATTATTTCTATCCTGGAACCCTCTTCGTTTATAATCGAGTAAAGATATTTGAATTGTCGGACTACTTCAAGTTCTCGACCACCGACTTGTTTAAAAGTCGCTTCTCATTTTTCGTAATGAGATTGTTTTTTTGTTTTTTGTTTTTGTTTTTTATATTTTTTTTTTTTGTTGTTGTTTTCAATGCTTTTAGTCTACAATGCATTACCTAATAGAAATAAAATAACCATAATCTCAAGGGGACAAATATTTAAGGGTACTTCACCGTGGAGTCGTTGTTTCGGTGGTCGGCAAACTTCTTTTTTTAACATGACACTCAAGACAAATTCAAATCATGTGTAAATAATAAACGCGGTTCTGAAAGATTCTCAGCCCAACCAAGAAAGGATGTAAAATAAATTTTGATGTCAAATTTTATCATTTTACTAAATTTTGGAAAGTAGATTGAACTGCGAATTTTCAGCACCCCATCATATCAAACTAATATAACACTTTATTTGACAAAGCTTAACTTTGAACCAAGCAAAAAAAATTATTTGAAAAATATATTTTTAAATAAATGTTTTAATTTTTTCTATAGAGGTTTTAATTAAAAAAAAAAAAGATTAATTTTAAAAACGTTGTAATTTAAAAATAGAAGTTTTAATTTTGTTATTGCGTATATTACAGTTTTTATTGATTCTTCCATAAATTAAATAGATAAAGAGAAGACATGTTTTTATTTTACACATAATATGAATTGAAAAATATTATTTAGTGATAATCACATATTTCATATTGTCGACGCGCTGGATGAAATTTTATAGCTGATGATATTTGACCTACGAATAGTAATTACCGATTCCTGTGCGAGGCCGTTACTGTTGCAGTGAATTGATATCTCTCGAACTTCCAATGTCCTTGTGCCATACCAAGCTATGGTCCCTAAATACCTATAATCGAGGCGCTGTCTTGATAGTAATATAGGCCCGTCCCCCATTCCTGTCACACTGCTGTAGATTTATGTCCTTGTACCAGTAAATGTCAATACAAGAGAATCTATGAAACTATTATGGCAAAAAAACGTAGCAGTTTTTTTTAAAAACACGGATAAGTCCTGAATTAATTGTTAATAAAGTTTCAGGGCAAAATGGCGTTGACATATGCGAAAACACAATGTCTTAAAAGCTGTCATATTAAATAAACTATTAATTTATTAAAGTTACACTTATCTCCTAATTAGACTTTAGAAACAGTAATACAAACATATACAAACAAAAGTGTTACAGCAAGAATGTTCGGTCCGACTGTCAGAGCTGACTACTGGAAACTTCCCTCTCCAAAAGGCAGTACCTGCTCCTATTTATAGCCGGGAGAGTCCATGCGTGGGTGGGTAAATTACCATAACAGTTTCTAACGACATTCTCCTGTTTCTGAATACTTTTTATATTTCCTTAAGACACTAAATCAATTCTTACCATTTATCCTACTAACCATGGCTTCTTCAATATTTTATAAATTTTGTAATTGTTTATTATTTATTTTATTTTTAACATAAAAAATGCTACTTTGATCAAAGAAGAAAACAATGTCCCAAGAAAGTGCCTTGCTCACAAGGTCATCTACAGTAAATTTTACAACATTTCGCCAGAAAGAACTTCTATTATTACAGTGTAAGATATCTACTAACAAAAGTGATGAAAAGAAAAAGAATCTAAATTAAACTGGCTATATTAAAAAAGAAAAAAAAGAAAATTCCCAGTATCCCTCGTTCGTGCGCATGCGCAGTCCCACCAACCTAACAAACTTAGTCCGATGAAATCCTAAAGGACGAAACGCTTCACAAGAAAACAAGATTTACATACACATCAACTATACGATTTATATGCCTCCTAATGACGTACGACTTCCAACGAAAGAGCGAGAACTGGTGAATGATGTCTTTAAAGAATTATTAATTTTGCTGAGAGTGCTTCACTTGTAACAGTCTGTTGAATATTTTCTAGAAAGGTAGTTGGGGAACTGTATCTCCTATGATGAAAGTTCTCCGTTTTCAAAATCATACCCAATTTTCTGCATTGGTACGTCTGAATGAAGGATTCGGGATTATTTACCTTATTTCTCACGGATCCAGAGATGTTTCGTAATACAGTGGTCTACAGTAGTACGAGGCTAATCTGAAAAACTATCAGTCCAATTCTTTAACAAACATTTTACAAAGTGACCACACATAGGAATTTATTTTGTGTAAGGGCTTTTCAGCACCCTCTCTTATCAGTGTATAGAAACGGATCTAAATCGGATATACACGGGTAAAAAAAAAATCTGCTAAATTTATTGAAGCAGAAACGGATAGCTGCACAGCAGACATGACTTTGTTGGAAATGGTTTAGTGTGAAGTCTTTAGAAAGGAAACTGAACGATTCGATGTGTTGATGAGTGTTTGCGACAGGAAACGTCTATCATCCCCACTCCGCTACACATACATACACAAATCAAAATAAGAAATGAGGATGCAATTGTTGTAGGCAATGTTGGGTTTTAAGGGTGTGAGCTTTGCTTGGGCAGGGGAGTGGCGGCATCACACGTAGGCGTGACAGAGACGCAGATGTACAGTACAGATTATGGGAATTGGCAATGTTTTGTTCAGGCATGAGGACATGGGGGTCTGATCTGTTTGGCGACAAGGCGAGAAAGGTTATATGGTCCTTTCAAGAGTAGATGAAATGAAATGATTGCAAAGAAAGAAAGAAAGAAAGAAAGAATCGTCTTATAAAAATGGAAGAAAACGGAACGCGAAAGACAAACAGAAAATGTAAAAATAGTATGAATGAAAAAGGAAAGAAAGAATGAATGACGATATAAAGAGAACGAATTAAATTTAAGATAGAATGAAAATTGAAAAGATTAACCAGAAAAAAAGAAAATACTGAAAAGAAAAAGAAAAAAAAGTCTACAAGACAAAGATAGATAGATAGATAGATAGATAGAGATAGATAGATAGATAGATAGATAGATAGATAGATAGATTAAAGTAAAAGACGTAATGGCTAAAAATAAAGATAACAGATAAACAAGCGAAGAAAGGAAATAGGGATTAAAAATGGCGAACATTTAAACGAAGGAATTAAAAAAAGGGAAAAGAGTGAATGATATAAAAGAAGAAAAGGAAATGAACTTGACCAGTGAGTTGTAAACAAAATGGCTGTACACCGTCTGCTTCTATTGATTTGATGACGTTTTGATGACGTCTCAAGAAAGTGTAACGCCGCCTGCGCCAATCGCCCACGGGCCAGCGACAAGGCAAGATTGTCTGATCACACAATAATTCAGCGTCAATCTACAAAAGATGAGTCTTTCAATAGCGAGGAAAATCTAGGCTGTTTTATTATGGATTAATAAGGTGCCAGTTTCAAGGGTTGGAGAGAGTTGGGTGTCGGGTAGAGCGAAAGTCATAATGATCCACAGGAGTAAAGCTGTTGGCCTGGGGGTATGGGGCTGTGGGAAAACGAATGGGGGAAACGGATTTGAAAAGAGGGGGTTTCGCCGAGGAAGTCTCGGCAGAGAAACACAGATAAAAATGAATGGGAAAATAATAATTTGAACTTAAGTAGGGTAGAGGTAAACGGGAAAAGAGATAAAGATTTGGGATTTGCCCGAAGTCGTTCTGAATGACATCCTTCATCTTTAATCCTGAAAATTTCTTCAGACTTCAGTGCAAATCTGGGCAGCATTTACAAATCGTGGCATTTCAATCGTTTATTTCTGATTTTAATCCACTCGGGAGATTTATATCTTAACGGCTGAGTGTTACTGAACGACAAAGAAAGCTTGTGTCATAGTGATTCGGAAGTAAATTCTTTTCAGAAACTACTGCAAAAGTTGCATCAAAGATATCGAAGAATTAATGGAAATTAGGAACTTCAAAATGTGATAGTTGTGACTGAAGACCGGAGCAGTTTTTCTGGAGATTTATTTGTTGGTTGAATAGAATTCTAAAAGATCAAAAATTGACATCAGGGTGTTCAAAATGAAATCATCCATTTGTTTAACAAAATATTGGGATATATCAAAAGTATTTACGTTTTTAATCAACATTTATTTTCTATAAATACTTACAAGGTAATTGTTCGGATTGTTGTGTAATCCAAAGGAGAATCAGCAATATTATTGGTCCTAACCTGGCGTCTCGGCTTCAACCACTTTCTCGGCGCCGTAAACTGCTTCCGCATGCTTTTTCTATAAATACTTTCATGGTAATTATTCGAATGAGATCTTCGCTACGTTACCTAGTCTTTATGAATTTAAGCGCAGACTGGCGTCGAGATCTCATCAATTTACAGTTGAGCTGGCTAGATGTAACCATAAATTTTATGCTAAGAGTTTCTTTCCTAGCACTTCTCGCTCGTGGAACTCCCTTCCGGCTCCATGCTTTCCAATCAACTTTGATCTTCAAAAATTCAAAAGCAGTGCCAATCGCTATCTACTGTCCTCCTGATTACTCTTTCCTTTTCCCTCATTATTAATGTTTCTGTTCCTAATTCTTTCACGCTCTTTAACCCCCTTGTGTCTTAGTGGCTTTACTGCCTTGCATGGTGTAATATTGATTAAAAAAAGTAAAAAAAAAACAAAAAAAAACACATACCTATAAAAAAAATACTTCATTTTAACCCTTGTGTCCAATGTGCTAGTATCATAATTAGGAGGCCGTACGCCGAAGCACAAAATAGACTCATATAGAGCTTGGATGAGTTACAATGGGTATTTTATCTATCGGAAATATGGTATTTATTTAAGTTAGTTTTACATCAATATTTTTAACCTCATTTAAGGGAACTGCATTGCATCAGTTCACTCCTGACTCACCATAAACTCATCATTTCAAATGATGTTTCGTCACCCCCTTCGCATCCAGCCATTGGAAAAATTGCCTGAGGTTGAAACATATAATCAAATGTTAATTATAAGTGTAGATCAGTCAGTTATGTGTCATGCGTGACACACGCTTAGGCAATCAAATAACTTTCGATGCACGACTGACGAGGCATATTTTTTCCGTAGTAGGTTGCCATTCCTTTCTGCAATAGACCAGTTGCCATCCAAGGCTATAGAACCCGGTCTACCCTGCTATTTACCCACAGATGGAGAGAGAAGAAGAGGATTCATACCTTTCCCAAGTGTATTAGCACGTAATGGATTCGACTGGAATTCGGACACAGCTCTCCGTGCCGTTATCCATTACGCCACAGTGCCTCCCTAAATGTAGCTGCAATGCAAAAACAGGTAAATTTAATAACATTCCTTTGATTATTGCATATCATTACACATTTAAATTTTCTTTCGTAATCCTATCCGACCTTATTAGCAAATCATATGTGGTTATTTGAAATTGTAACTCCCGTTGTAAATTCTGATGTATCTACGAACTACCCTCCAAACAAAATGCGCCCCTCTCTTTCGTGTGTTCACAACCGTCAGGTGTCTGCTGTGGCATGATGCTTTCAAATAAATGGTAGGACATGACGTCATTGTAGTATTAGCGAGAGTACCTTACAATTCTCCTTTTTAGAGAACTGACCTTCATTTAATTATCCAACTTCTAAATTAGTAGCAAGCTGGCAATTCCCTTCCAGAAGAATATTTAATTTAAAGAATTGTTAACTTCTTAAAGTTTCTTGTCGATTAGAGGCTTTATTGAGTGTAAAGAAATGATCTCAGTCGGGGAGGGGGCGTTTTTGGGAGGTGTCTAGATTAACAACGGCTTTTGACTTTTAGGTCAAGACAGACTCAAAATAAAACTCTGGAAATATATCAAACTAAGTAGATGTTTAATGACTTTTTTTGATTCCATATTAATATCGTTGGTGTACGGCCATATCACTCTGAAACATTGGTTCTCATCCGATCACTGAAGTTAAACAACGTCGAGCCTGTTTAGTACTTAGATGGGTGACCACTTGGAAATACCGAGTGCTGTAAATTTGAATGTGCGGGTGGTGTAATGGATAACGGCTAAGCATGAGAAACCGGAGATCCGAGTTCAATTACAGTCGGGTTCGTTATATTCAAATCCCCTTCTCCCCGCTGCTACTTGTTAAATTGCAGCATTATCACAAAAGAATTCTTACAAACCAAAAATATTCGCAGAATTTAAATAACCTTCAAAAGGTTGATAAGCCGTAAAAAGAAATCAATCAAACAATCTTATATTGTTGTGACAAATGCTGAAATTACCAGGATTTTAAAGTAGGGAGACATTTCAAAAAATCAGTTAACTTCCCTCGTTGTCTTTCATAGTATTGAATTGCAGATCGATCCATTTGAATTGTAGACCTCAGTAATATATAAAAATCTTTGTTTTGTTTTATTTTATTCATAATAATATTTTAGGATAAATAATATAAAATTTATAATATCATATATATTGTATAATATGGTCTGCAGGCCGGATAAAATATATCATCGAAATGGATTTCACTCATGGGCCGTAGTTTACCGATCCCTGATCGAGATGTTTGCAAAAATGATATTTCAGATTAGGTTGTAATAAAATGGGTATTCATAATTTCCCTTCATCCTGCAACTAAATATCATTTTTTTTTATTTGCCGATGAGAGATTGCGCACTAACACGAAATATTTCTCTTCATGGGCCTCGGCAATAAGCGACTATATTTAACTCTTTTAGAGCAAGACGGGTCCATTCATGTACATTGCCGCCCCGTCCCTTTTAGTTGCCTATCTAAGCGTTTATTTGATTTTAACTTTTTTATTTCACTTGTCACATGTAGCGCACTTGTCCAAGACTTTTAGAGTTATGCCCTGATTGCTGTTATCACATAAGTCCGGGGCTGATGATCCGCCCTCCTGATTGTATGGGGGAGGGTCCGGAAATATTTGGTTTGACAGTTTTGTGTTAGTTTTATCAGTATATGTAGCGGCTTGAGCCAGCTCCGAAGAGAATTTCATACTCCGAAACCAGGGTTGGAAAGGTTTATACATAAGCAGGTTTAAAAGAAGGCTTTCCCTCTTCCATAAGGTGGATTTATTCGTTCCAGTTACAAACATGGAATTTATTCCCTCACGCAATGGTTTTTACATCGGCCACAGCTTTGCCTTTTATACGGTTTACCCTCCATCTACCTATGTTTTCGCCCGAGGCAACGGATGTTTGAATTCAGGTTTTCCTTCTTTTAGACGGACTACCGTCTCAGGTTAAAGGGTTCCGTCTACCCGATTTAAACTTATGATACCTGATAGCCACAAACGGTTTTCTATTTTTTAAATCAAATTCACCCCAAGCAAGACAGTAAAGCCACTAAGTCACAATGGGTTACTGGATGTGAAAGAATTAGAAAACAGAAACATGAAGTAGTGAGAACAGTAGAAGATTAATCAGGAAGATTAAATAACGATTGACACTGCATTTAAATTTTTGAAGATCAAAGTCAACTGGAAAGCATGGAGCCGAAAGGGTAATCCATAAGTAAGAAGTGCAGGAAAAGAAACAGAATAGCATAGAATTTACGGTTGCATCTAGCCAATTCACCTGCAAATTGATGAGACCATGTTGCCAATCTAGTCAGTTAATTATATGCCATGCGTGATACACGCGTAGGCGATCGTGTATCTTTCGATACATGACTGCAGAAGCAGATGTTTTCCCGCAGTAGGTTGCCATTTCTTTCTGCGGAAGACCAGTTGCCATCCAAGGCTATACTACCCGGTCTGTCCTGTTATTTACCCTTGGCTGGGACGGGGAGGTGAAGAGGATTCATACCCTTACCAAGAGTATTTGCACGTAAGTGAATGTAATGGATTCGACTGGAATTCGAACTCGGCTCTCCGATTCATCAGTCCGAGCCGCTATCCATCTAGTACTGCGCTTAAATTCATAAAGTCTGGGTAACATAGCGAAGAACTCGCCCGAATGATTACCATGAAATTATTTCAAGAAAAAGCATACGGAAACATCTTTACGGTGCTGAGAAAGTGGTTGAAACCGAGACGCCATGTCAGAAACAATAATATTGTTGATTCTCCTTTGGATTTTATCAAGAATCTCTAAATAAATATCAGTAGTACCGAATCAAACGTGACGACAATATTCTAAGCATCGACGAATGGTAGACTCATAGATATGCAAGATAGATGCTGGAGAGAAAAAATTGTCTAGCACAACACAGTGAACCAACTTTCTTAGTAGCTGACTTAGCAATATAATCTTTCCACTCCTTATCAGCCGAGAATGTTAACCAGAGAAGACGTACCAAGTAATTCTCCTGAAGGTTATCATCAGGAATGCTGATGGAAGACTGAAAGGGGGTCTTAGTTTTAGAGACGTTAACATTAACACGCCTTTCATTGCCTCAGTTAACAACAGACTGTTTAAGTACAGACCAGGCTGGAGACAACCTGGTAAAAATGAACGACTGTCTCTTTTTATCAGAATGAACGTTGTTTGAATTTTGAATGCACGGTTGAAAACTGGTAAACATATCTGTGTGCATTAAGTGTTTAATCACTTAAATACATTTGGGATGTATAAATGATTACACTTCTAGTTAGATTACTATTCCGTCAAAGACTCACCAAAAATTTCCAAAGATGATGAAACGATGTTACCGCTTCTACTTCTCCCCAAGAACACATTGCACAGGTCTTCTCCATTCATAATGTCAAAATCGTTTTCATTGCAAGTAATAATACAATTTATGGTGATTCTTTGGTCCTTTTTAAAAAGCAATGTGATGTATCCTAGACCCCCACCCGCGTCTCCTTCCAAGGATTAAAGCATCGTTTCCATTAATATTTTTTTTTAATGGAACCAACTTTAATGGAACCAACTTTAATGGAACCAACTTTAATGGGACCAACTTTAATGGACTCTTTTTATTGGTCGATTTTCTCGTATGTTCTTAAAAATTGTTTCAGTCAAGACGTCAAGACGATGCAAGCTTTCTAAGTGAGTTCCTGGCTTCAAATTATAATATTCATTGGTTGATTGATTTTGTTTAGCGGCATATCAACATCTCTATGGGTTATTTAATGCCGAAATCTAAATATTTTGAAGACAATTTTATGACTTCAACTAAATATATTTCGAACGCAATTGTGTGCCTTCAACTACAGATAAAATATATTGTTGGGTCATTTTGCTATGAATTGATGTTGTTGGTAATTTTACTATGAATAGATATTGCTTGTAATTTCTTATATAAAAATCTATTGCTGGTAATTTTACTATAAAAATCTATTTTAATACTTTCATATTGTTTGTGTGAGGATTCACTATTTTCCAATATCTGGGACCCTAACAGGTGCTACCACCTCGGTTCATGATGGACTTGGGAACAACAGCAATTAAGAGGTAGTTCCAGATTTCTCAAAACCTATCCAGGCTCTCGATCAGAGGCCTTAGAGTTCTTCAAATCACAAACTCCATGGAACTTCAGTTGAGTTCTTCAAATCACAAACTCTTCGGAACTTCAAAATCCCACGTCACGATATCTCTCAATTTAACTCTGATCACTTGTCATTTTAAAGAATAAAATTAATTTTCTCAATTCACAAAGTTTTGGAGATATTTTAAACTGAATTTAAAACATTCTTAAGTTCATAAAGTGTTTGTGTTACTTTAAACACAATATAGATTAAAATCTTTTAAAATCGCTAATTTTTGTCAGTTATTTTAAAATTTGAATTTTTAACTGTTCCCACACAAATCCCAATGCCGGGTGTCCAATTCGGGGATCATCCTGATTACGAAAATGTATAATATGTCTTTGTAGAACAAGTGTGGATCGAGTTAGAAACAAAAGAATTTGACAGTGGCTTGGAATTCATGAAAGGGATATCAGTATTGAACTCTTATATGATTGATATTCCATATCAGTATTGATTGATATGGCACAGAAATGCATTAGAATCATGAAGAAATGAATTTTTTTAAGTCAGGAATTCCAAATTGACAGAAGAGAAAAATGCTATTAGAATAAATTAAAATCAGGGAGAAAATGGACAGGATTTAAAGAAAGCATTAACAGAATAATGCTACACTTCCAGACATATCATAAAATGCATTTAAAATCAGTATGAAAGTTATGGTCAGGGGTCAGAAATTTATATCTTATCCGTAGAATATGCAATAAAAAAGAAATACATCAGCAGGAAAGGTATAGTCAATGGTCAGGAATTGACAGAAGGATTGACTGAATCGAGGTCATCGCTCTTTTCTGTAATAAAGGGCAATCGTTTGTGTGTATGTGTGTTTGGTTTAAACTTTTAAAACTACGATAAACATTTGGAGTTTAAAACGGACACACGCATACAGACAAAAGATTTAGAAAAGAGTTTACAATTCGTTTCTTTATACTTAAAAAAGCGATGCCTAATGTTTAAAATACATTTTAAAAATGAAAAATCTATTTGATGTTTTCATTTTCGTTTTAATTTTATGCTAATAGATTAAATTTAATATTTTCAATAGGCAAAATACTTTACTTTATTTCAAAATGATTTTAAAATGATTGGAATGATTTTTGAAATTCCCAAAAATGGCTGAAGTCGGCCAGGTAAACAGCTCTGTTTTCATTTATTGATAAATTGATATTTGGCATTTTTAAGGAAATGGTATTTAACTGAAGTGTATTTTGCTTGAATAGAAAGTGAACGTTTTTTTATATATATATATATATATATATATATATATATATATATATATATATATATATATATGCGTGTTTGTATATATATTTAACTACCCAGTAATCTTGATAATTAGGAAAATCTTCGAAGTAATCTAATATTTTCTTGAATTATAAATACTTTGGCATTATAGTCTTAATTAGAAAGACACTGTTGGGGAAATTTTATAAAATTACAAATAAATTTTAAATTTACTATATTTATTGTTCTTATTTAATAATAATGCGTATAGACGTCCGTATTTGCAAAAATATTTTTACCAAGGTTTTCTA